AAAAACAAAAAATGGAGATAGAAAGGATAAAATTCAAGGGAATGGCAAAGCAGGTGGAGAAGAAAGAATTTCAAACACAAGCAATGAAACAACAAAAAGAAACAAAAAAAAAACCTCTGTGCAGCTGTTGGCGCTTAGACAACTCTAGGGAGGTGCTGGCAGTCAAGGCACTCCCGAGGTGGGTGCAGGAGGGACGTGACAGTGGAGTTCCTGGCTCGGGGTGGAGTTCCTGTAGACCTGGGTGTTGTCTATGCTCAAGGCTTCAATCCAGAAGTAGTTCGTGGAGGTTCCTTATGGAGTTGATTTCAGTGTCTGTTAGGACCACAGGGCAGGCTGGGGGCACGGTGACTGCTTCTGAGGGTTTCGCTAGAATAATGCTGGTCTGGTGCCTCCAAGTTGTGTGGGTCTGGAGCTGAGCTCACCTGAATTCATGCACCAAAGCTAGCAGCTGGCCCCCACCTCACACTAGCATGGCTCACAACCGCTGAGCCCTGCACTCCCAGAGAGCAGGTTGGGGTGGATGATGGTGGAGCATGGGGAGAAAGAAGGAATCTCACCCGTCCCATTGCCCGTGTCAGGCTCTACCAGGCCACCTTCTGTTACCAAAGCTGCTCGAAAAAGTTCAAGATGGTCGGGCCACATCTGGCCAGCCATTCACCAGTTTCCCTGCTCAGCTTCTCCCAGCAAGCACTCAATCCACTTCTCTAATCTTTCCTGTGAAGTTCAGGGTTCCAGATTTTTCATCTGTGTCTGTTTCCTATGATTTCTCTTAACTTTGTTGTAGATCTGTGTCTGCCTAGTCTGCCAGATCTTGCCAGAGTCTCCAGTATTGTTTGTTTTTTAAGGTTTTTATTGTGGACTGAGTGAAAGTTTACAGGGCATATCATTAGTTTTACATTCAACAAATCATACACCTTGTTTCATTACAATCATTATAATCCCCTAAATCAGTTAACAGTATTCTCTCTATTCACTTTAGCTATTTTTTCTTTAAACACGCAGGCATATATAATAATTTACACCACCAAAGGGCACATTCTGCAAGTCTGCCTCCTGGCTGCCAGCTTCTAGTCCCTCTCTTCCCATAAATCTAGAGTCCTTTGCTGCTCCCTCTCTCCACGTCCCCATCTCTGCCTCCATCTCTGGTGTCATTGCTTCTCTGGATAAGGTCTTGCATTCCACACGTGTGCTCTCCTCCCTTGATGGTCCTGGGGTCCTCTGTTTCTGGACTGTTAAGATTAACCACTCCCCTGTTTTTGTTAAAAAAACTTCCACCTTTACAATTGTGACAGTCGCAATTAGTCAAGATAACAATTACTCACTGTTGACTCGTAAGAATCTTATCCCCATCTCTTTTCACCAGACCCATCTAGACAAGATGAAAGCTATTCATTGGATACTCTTCCCCACCCCCCACCCCCCCACACAGACACACTCTTTTTTTTTAAAAGTTCCTGTATTTTATTATATTTAATGTTTTAGGACCATACAAAGATTCTCATTTCATAAACAGAGCTCTCATTTGGATAGTGTTAGTAGAACTTTAACAGTATTCTAAGATTTAATTTAGAATCAACTATATTATAAAAGAGGTGCTCTAAAATATTCATTTTTTATTGTTGTTATGGGGCAGTGAAAATGACTATTAGGAAGACAGATTGTTGCTTACACTATTTATACTTGTCGATATTTAGAGAGAGACGTATGAGTAGCTGCTGGAAGATTCCACTGTGGGAGCAGGGGACCTTTGGAAATTATCTGTCGGATTCAGTCATCTCCTCCACAGACCTTTATGAGTGTGACTTTATAGTCTCCAGAAGTATCTGATTTAATTGCTGAATATAGTGAATAGCTGTAATGCTGTTTGAACTCCACTCGAATGTCCAGAAGGTCGATTTCTGATCTGGAAACCATTATTCTGTTTAAAGTAAATTCATCAGTTCCCGCACCCTTCAAAGCTTGATGCAGTCTTTCAGCCAAAAAGGCAGTAAGTCTTCAAAATGCCCAGATAATTCTCCTTTTATGTTGTCCTCAATATCCTTTTGGCTGATATTTCGATATTCATCAAATGTTAGTTTCAGTTGAGGATAGCTCCTTACACACAGGATCTCGGTGAATTTATCTTCATCTGTGCCCAATTTCTTCTCCCCAGCATTATAGTGAAGCTGGGCATCCTTTTTAGCTAGATGTTCATCCACTTTCAGACTCTCATCTCTTCTGCCATCAGCCAAAGTCAACAGAGCTTTCCAGAAATCACCAGATGTTTCAGAACTAATGTCATCTCCAAGACTCGTCTTATATACTGTGTAGTAGGCTTGAGAGATCTCCTTCATCTGCCTGCCTGTCCTGGTGGTTAGAATTTCAGTCAGTACATTTTCATTTGTTCCAGTTCCCTTCATGGATTTCTTTAACTGCTCTGCATCAAACACTGCTGGTGGAGTTATGAGAACTACCATTATATGCTCAAAGTTGCCAGAGAGATCACCCTTCAAGTTGTCTTTCCACTCCTTTCCATACGCTGCTTGATGTTCCTTGATGATTAGCTGCCTCTGTGCATTAGACCTCTCTGTCAGAATGTTGACGAGCCTCTTCTCATCGGTTCCAATTCCTCTGATTGCCTTGTGAACAACGTTAGCATCCACTGATGGGCTGAAGCCTGGATAATTTTTAATAATTGTCCCTCGATGTCCAACCCAGATGGATGTCATGATAGTCCACACCTTTGTCTTGAGTTAAGATCACTTTAATGTTGGTGTGTGGCCACGGGAAGCTGTGTGTTGGACAATCCAGAGCAAAGGTGGGCTTCCCCACACACTCTTAAAAACTAAACTCCCTCTTGAAACCTTGTAAGCCAGTCACTTTGTGCCTTTATTGCCACTCCCTCATTTTAGGTAGCCAGTGTCTAAGTTGCCCGTCCCTATCTACCCTGTGTACAGAGGGGACAGCATTGATACTTGATATGAGGACTCCTTCCCTCTCTGTTGGCATTTACAGTTACTGCCTCCATGAGTATAGGTCAGGTTCATCAAATTGTAGCAATTTACCCTCATTTCCTTTATCAAAAATTGTTTTGTTCTTTTTTTTTCTCTTAACCTTCCTCTAGTCGAGTTCTGATCATCCAGCCATTGAGGCTAGGTCAGATGGGTACTATCTGCAACTATGAGTGTTCTTGTGCACCTCCTCTCACTCCATATCAGCTGGATACTTCACTCTCAGCTCTAACCCTCTGTGGCTATGTTCTTGTCCATGGGCTCAAGTGTCCCCAGGTCTCACCACTTTGTACCAACTAGAACTTTCTCTTCTCTCTCTTATCTGCAGGTCAGTGGGAGTCTGTGGAACGTGGTTGAACTCAGCCCACTTCTTCATTGCTGCCTTTCCCCTTCTTCCACTCACCAGTAGACCACTGTGGTCTCCAGTAAGCTTACATGACTGCTCATGTGTTCCCTTTGATTTTCATTCTTATAGGGGGGCTTGTCCTGGACGTATTCGATTGCTTCTAGTGTTGTTTTTAAAACATAAATGTAATACTGTCGTTTTCCTTTTTAAAACGCTTCCCAGTTCTCACTTCCTATAGGATGATTTGAGTACTATGAACTTCTCCAGCCCTATCTTTTGCCTTCTCCATCCTTGACAAGCTTTCTTTCCTTGTTTCCATATGTCTAGAGAACTTGTTTCCTCTCTTGAAACACTTGTCTCCATGAATCTCCACTACATTATGAACTAGAATCCCTTACATTTTCCAGACTTACTCCTCACAGGGTAGGTAATTGGAGGATATTTCTGAATGCTTTTGTGACACCCTCCCCACCAAATTGGAATGAAGTGACTCTCCTTTTTTCTTCTTTAGCCACTTGCTCTTTCCTTGTGTTGCTAGTTACTGAATTGCCGTGGAGTTGTTGACTTATTTGTGTTCGTCACTAGATTGTCAGAGCAGTGACAGCACGGTCACTGTTGAACTCCTGTAACTTCAGTACTTTGCACTTGATCCGTCTTTCTGTGTCATTCCAATCCTATAGTAAATGTATGCTTGACTTGCAGCTCAGAAGAGGAAGATGAAAAAGAATGGCAAGAAAGAATGAATCAAAAGCAAGCATTACAGGTATTTAGTAATTTTTGAGTTATGTAATCTTTAAAAATACTTATAAACGAAAGTAATTTCCAAAATTACAGATAATTTTGAATAATTATTTTGAGGGACTATATACTTTGATTTGTTGTGAAGGACGTGGAAATGATTTTCAGTGGTGTAGCATGAATTTAAGGAGCCCTGGTGGTGGGATAGTGAGTTATGCTTTGGGCTGCTAACCACAATCATATGTACACACACATGCATGTGTGTAGGATAAACTCTGGGCTGCATGGTCGATTTGAACTGCAAGGTCAGTGGTTCAAATCCACTAGCAGCTTCTCAGAAAAGTTGGAACCAACTTGATGGCATTTAGCAACAACATATGTACATATAAAATACATGGACACCCATATGCACATACATGGAGTTTGCCATTACCCTTGTCTAGGTTATCCAAAATAGGCCCATTTTTATTTCCAACTAACCAATAAGTAAGAGAACGTGTAAGTAACTAGATAAAGTAATATGAACGAGCTTCAAAAAGTTGGTGAAAAATTCCGTTCTCTTTCAGTTCCATTTTCCTATGAACATTGTGAATTTCCGTCACACATGCTTGTTTAGAGATCTTCCTATAACACGCTGTACGATTGGCACTGGACTGCTAACCGCAGGGTTGGTGGTTCAGACCCACCAGCCACTCCTTGGAAATCCAAACAAGGTCACTATGAGTCAGAGCCGACTCGATGGCACTTAGCAACAACAACAATAGGAATATTTTAGTATATTTTATTCCATTCTTTTCCTCTCTTCTGTGCAGATGAATGAGTGTGTATGTGTGTGCGTAGGTATGTGTTTAGGTGCCGTATTATACATAGGTCTCTGTCGATGTTCCTGGGATCTACTGTTGCATGAATCACCCTAAAACTTAGTGATGTAAAATAGCAGTTACTTATTTTCTTCATCTCTCATGCTTCTTGTGGTTGACTGGCCTCAGCGAGGTACTTCTCTCTAGGGTATCCACTGCAGATACACTCAGTCTATAGTTGGGATGAAGTCCCCTGATGTTTGGTCATTGACGCTGGCTGTTGCTAGACCTCAGTGAGGGCTGTCAGCCAGAACACCTTGTGGCCTCTTCATGTGACATGGGCCTTTGCACAGCACGATGCCTGTGTTCCAGAAACAAGCATCTCAAGGGAAAGGGGCAGGCAGACACTGTGTTACTGTTTCCAGCTTAGTGATGGAAATTAATGCAGCGTCTCATCCACTGTTATCTTTTGTGCCATCGAGTCAGTTTGGACTCATAGCGACCCTGTAAGGGTTTCCAAGGAGCTGCTGGTACGTTTGAACTGCCGATCTTGTGGGTAGCAGTCCAGTGCTAATTCTGTAGTGCCACTCCAAGATTCCTGTTATCTGTTAGAAACAGATTGAAGTGGAGGAGAATTATTTGGAGGAATTTAAGAATTCTTGGACACACTTTAAAATCATAATCACAGGTATTTTAGTGCATAATATTTTTAAAAACTGAAGTTATAATGAATATACAGGGTTTTTAATAAACATTTTTTCCATGATTTTTCACGTAGGGGATAGCATTCTTTGATTCCTGGCAGTTTTGCGCCTTTCAAACAGTAATTGGTAGCATCTTTGGGTCAGAATGAGTACGTTTTCGTCAGAAGCCCTCCATGGAAGGCTGGGCTCTCCTGTTGACTGGCTTTGGGATTCCAGTCTTAAGGCTTGTCTCCTTTTTGTAGAACAGAAATCATAATGACGCCTCTTCAGGGCGGGGTGGCATGGGAAGCACAGGCTCACACACAGCACACAGTAACACATGCAGGCAACCAGACGGCGAGCTGCTATCTTATGTGGAGGTGGTGGTGGCGGCGGCGACTGTGTACCATGGAGTCGGTTCCGACTCATAGCAACCCATTACAGGAGCAGAAAGCCTCACCTTTCCCCCTGGGAGCTGCTGGTCGATTGGAAGTGCTGACCTTGCAGAGCCCACTGTGCTATCAGGGTTCTTTGATATAGTTTTATTTTAAATACTTTTAATATTTACATCATTATAATATTTTAAATAGTTTTCATTTAAATAATTTTAATATTTAATAATTAAAGCTTAAACTTTAAAATGATGGGCTTTTAAATACTTTTGGTAATAGTTTAAATTTCAGAAAAACATTGGCCTTTTTGTTGTCTTTGGACTTTCTCTTTTAATTTCACTTTAGATTTCAGGCTAAGAACAAAACAAATAGTTAAGGAAATTATAAACATTATTCAAAACCTTAAGATTCATACTCAGCAGAGGTGCTTTGCTCTTGCTGTCCCTTCACTGTGGGACCCCTTTCCCTGGTCATTGCATGACCGGCACTGCTCTTCCTCATTCCATGTTTAAATGTCATGTTTTCATATTTTCTCCTAATCACTCTCTTAATCATTAACCTTTTGTTTTCTTCAAAGCACTTCTTGGTATCTTGTGTATGTGTTGGCTTGTTGTATGAGCCTTGTCTGACTTGATCACCACAGTATGTTAGCTCCCAGACCATAGAGCTGCCTGGTGAATGGATTTTCTTTTCAGTGGATGAATGGATACATTTCCTAATCTGCCTGGTCACTTTGATACCTCTTGTTGAGTATGTACACCTATATGATATAAGCACAATAAGTGTTGGTCACTTTGAAGAGGATTAAGTGTATTAAGTGTAAATTTGATGTTTTCACATTTTACTTTTTACAGGAAGAATTTTTTCATAATCCTCAAGCAATAGATATTGAATCTGAAGACTTCAACAGCCTCCCTCCTGAAATAAAACATGAAATCTTGACTGATATGAAAGAATTCACCAAGCGAAGAAGAACACTCTTTGAAGCAATGCCAGAGGTAAAACATATAACGTACATAAATGCTTAGAATCACGACTGTCACCAAAACTTTTCGTTACAAATGAATTTCTTAGAAAATATTGCAGTTTCTAGTAAGCAGCTTTTCTGTCTCTGAGAGATTCTGTGAAGCATCATGTAAGCTTGAATTTGTAAGCACTTTCTCAAGACATCTTCCTTGGCTCTCCACCCGAGACTGTGTCTTATCTCCTGATGTTGTTCTCATAGCGCCTTGGAGCATCTGTTTAGAGTGCAGAGCAGAGCAGTCAGCTGCACCACAATGTGCATGCCTTTCTCACTTGTATTTCCAGTCCTTTACTCAGTGTATTTCATGCAATTAGTGCCAATGCATGCTTGGAGCAGTGGTAATACAGTAAGATAAGCACTGGACTGCTAACCACAAGGTTGGCAGTTCAAACCTACCAGCCATTCCACAAACATTTGCAACCTCAGAAACTCTATGCAGATTTGCTATCAGTTGGAAGTGACTCCATGGAACCTGACAACAACAACAAAGTATAATTCTCAGGCTAGCTCGTAAGATCTGTTTAACCCATGGTATAGGCTGTTTTTAGATTATTAATTGTTGTTGTTAAGTGCCGTGGAGTCGGTTCTGACTTGTAGTGGCCCTGCATAAGGTTTCTGAGGAGCAGTTCATGAGTTTGAAGTGCTAACCCTGTGGCTGGTTCTCAGTTCAGTGCTGTGTTTGGTCTTACACCGCCACACCAGGAGTTCACAGTAGTATGGAATCTGATCACAGTAGAGAAATATGTTATGTTCTAACTTGAAATTACAGGTATGTCTTCCTCTGCTAAGCCATAGGAATGCACTCTGCTCCCCTTCGCCCTCTCGCTCTTTCTAGACAGTGGTAGTAGGTCTTCCTCAACTTGGAGTACCTGGTCATTCTAAGTAATTGAAGCCACAATAAGCTTCAGTGGGGATGGTGGATGGAGTTGGGTGTGTTGAGCACGTCTTCCATCCTCAATCATGTTTTATACCATGAATGACTGTCATTAGCTGGTGAGGGAGTCTGTCTCCCTTTCTGCTCCTGTTGTCCCCAGCAGAGCTCTCCACTATAGAGCAGAATCATTTTACATTAGTGCTATCCTGGGGAATAGATATAGTGTTAGGGCTCTTTCCAACAGGTTTTGAATATTCATAAAATTGATGCCAAAAATATGAAAAATGCTGGAGATATTTCTTTATTCATCACTCCTTGTTTCCCACTAAGAATATAAAGATAGGAAAAACTAAGGCACTTAGACATGATATTCTTTGGATGTACAAAGGATAGAATAAATTGATCTCCTTTTCAGAGGAAAATCCTAGGCTTGAGTGAGTGTGAAAGGATTCCTACGTGGGACTTGAGGAAATGAAATTCAGGTTGTATAAGCAGTGGTGGTGGTGTTAAGTGCTGTCAAGTTGATTCTGACTCATAGAGACCCTGTCTGTCTAGGGTTTCTGAGGAGCAGCTGGTAGGTGTGAAATGTAGACTTCGTGGTTCGAGTCCAGTGCTAAGCCTACGGTGCCATACCTGGAGTCCAGATATATAAGCAGTACTGGGGAGGAATGGAAGGGGAACAAACCAGTTTCTAATGATGTACTCTAGTTTAGTCTTTCTGCCACCACATCGTTTCCTGTTTGCTATGTGATAGAGGTGAATTGAAGCTAGAATTTTGATAGAGTGGAAAACTCTAGGTCAGCAGCTTGTATAGCTGTACATTGGGCAAATATAATATTGATAATTGTAGTAATAGCAAGTACTAACAGTAATATTGATAGTCACAATAGATGCAGTCTCTAATAATTTCCTTCTGAACCTAAATCTACCACTTGTTAGCCATTTCACTCTAGGGACATTACATAATCTATTTACGTCTCAGATTCTTTATTTGTAGGGTGGAGATAATCGTATCTGCCTCATAAGGTGATTGTGAGAATGAAATGAGATACTCCATATGGGAAAGTGCACTTAGAAGAATGCCCTAAGCACATAACATTCCTTATCAGTGTGTCCTCTTGTGGCGCTGTGGGATAAGCACTGGGCTGCTTACCTCGTGGTCAGTGGTTCAAGACACTAGCCACTCCTTTAAAACACTATGTAAGGTCATTATGAATTGGTACTGACCTAATGGCATTTAATAGCAACAACATTGTTGTTGATAATTGTAATTGCTCTGCTTCACTGTGGGAGTTTATGTACCAGGAGCTGTGTGGGGTGCTTCATTGGGTTCTTGCTGGCATTCCAGGGTACTTCCTGTGAAGTCATGATCAGAATGTCACCGTGACTGCTGTGCATTAGATGCTCAGGGTATGTGTTTGAGAAAAGGATTAAATCATGCGTAGTAACAACAGTTTCTTTATAGATTTCCTACTGTTCAGATTTGTACTTTGGTAATATGAAAACATTATCAAATGAAAAAAAATCAGTTGTTCTTTGCCTGGTGTTGGAAATATATTAATATTATCTGTTTTAGAATTTGTAAAGAGTAACTGTTTTAATTTCTTTTGCTTTTAGGAGTCCAATGACTTCTCGCAGTATCAGCTTAAAGGTTTACTAAAAAAAAACGACTTAAACCAGCGCATAGAAAATGTTCAAAAAGAAATGAATCAGCAGCACTCGGGGCCAATCCAAAGGCAATATGAAGATGAAGGGGGATTTCTGAAGGAGGTGGAGTCGAGGAGAGTGGTCTCTGAAGACACTTCACATTACATCTTGATAAAAGGTGTCTCACAGCATAATGGATATGACAGCTAAAAACCAAAACTGTGCCTCTGAATTCTCTAAATTACCACCCTGGCTAATACTATGTCCTAATTATGTAATAATTATAGCGTAATTAATGCATAACCACTATTATGCTAACCTACTTTTAACTTTTTAAATTAACTTTTATTTGCTAATAAAATGAAAATTCACTATTTCATTTGTAAGAACCAGTGTTCTCTTGTTTATTCTTCTGTAAGTGTATTATCACACTGTCAAACTACATAATTAGAAATGTTTTCTTTTTTTATTTAAAGGCATGCAGGCTAGGAAAACTGCAGAAGTCGATTCCGAGCCTCTCCCTTCTTCCAGCAGAATGCACAGCATGTCTGCTGCCACGACGTCACCTCCGTGTGGAAAACTGAAACCAGAGAAAGAGACTGGTGCTACTCCTCCATCTCCAAGAACTTTACTAGCTATGCAAGCAGCCATGCTGGGAAATAGCTCAGAGGAGGAGCTGGAGAATGAAAACAAAAGGCGACACACTGACAAGAGCACGTCCGCTGCTCTAGACGAAGGCTCTGTGTCACCAAGGACTCTCTTAGCTATTCAGAAAGCACTTGAGGATGACGAAGAAGTGAGAGTGCCTAGTGGGAATGACGTGCAGATGGATACGTTGGAAGTGAAAAACCTGCTTAGGAACAATTCTGATGTGGAAAATGATGAGAGACTTGCAGTTAGAGATGATGGGAAAGGACTGCTGCTCACAGCCGTGCCCAGCTCCATCAGTGTGAACTTTGTAGAGGAGAGTGTAGCCGGCACTGAGGAAGAGGATCTGACCTACTCCGCTCATTTACCAAGCACAGGTTTTTGTAAAGGCAGTGATTCTAGTGTTCAAAAAGAACAAGCATCGTTAGCTCACACAGTGAGTAATGAACCCACGGTCAAGGGTAGAAAAGGCCTTGTTCCTTTAGAAAGTTCAGGCGCTCTGCACAGTGATGCCCTTGGGCTCCAGAAGAGAAGAGAGCTGATGTCAACATCCGGAAACAGAGTTTTTGTGTCACATGGTGAATCACACCCTAAAGCTGTTGAGCTACACAGCGATCCTGGCACATCCGAGAGTAAACATGATTCCTCTACTGTTTCAGGCGACGACGAAACAGAATGTGAAAAAAATCGTGCTTCTGAAATCACTGGCACTGTCAGTATGCAGGAAATGAGTAACACAGCAAGTGTCCTTTCAGAGACACTAAGTGACTTAGAAAGTGGGGTGTCACTTAATGCTAAACAGCATGAGAATTTGCTGGAAACCATCCAAGAAAGTGAGATAATTGAATCTGCATGTCAGGATTTCATTTCATTTCCAGAGTTGGTGGAGCCAATGGAAATGAATTCCCACGACAGCGAATCTGATGGTTAGTATTTATAGTCTTTTAGAGACTGGAATGGTAGATTTTCATAGTTGTTGTGTTGTTAAATGCCATTGAGTCTGTGCCAACTCATGGCCACCTTCATAGGGCTTTCTCGGAGAGGCTGGTGGGTGTGACTCACTGGCCTTGTGGTTAGCAGTGCTTATCCTACAGTGCTACAGCAGGACTCAAATCTATATAGGGTCTGACAGATCCTTTAGTCTAGTCCACTTCCCACCTTTAAACTGATACTGAACCAGAAGGTTAAGTGACTTTATCAAGAACAAACAATAGTCATTTTAATCTTAAACGTTCCTGTTTTGCTATTCTTATTATTTCTGTTTATAAAAGGGTGAAGGTGCCCTACTTGGAGAAGGTAGAGCTAAGTTTCTCTTCAGCTTATTTTTTAACTTTTTTTAAATAACTACAATCTTAAAAAAAATTGGAAGACTATTAGAGAAAACTCTTATTCCTTTAGCCAGTTTCTCAGTTTCTAACTTTTCACCACATTTGCTTTATCATTCCCTCCATATATAAGAAAGCTTAAAAAACAATGGAATGGAATGGAATGGAATTTTTCCATGAACTTTTGGAAGCCCCTTCATCTACACACTCTATTGTTGTTGTTGTTGTTAAGTGCCGTCAAGTCGGTTCCGACTCATAGCGACCCTGTACAGGGTTTCCGAGGGTGTAAATCTTTACGGGAGTAGAAAGCCTCATCTTTCTCCCGCGGAGCGGCTGGTAGTTTCGAACCACTGACCTTAAGGTTCGCAGCCCGATTCGTAACCACTATATATACACCTATGTGCACACGGGACTCCTGGTGTGCTGTTGTAGGATAAGCACTAACTGTCAACCGCAAGGTTAGTGGTTCATAACCACCAGCCTCTCCTCAAAAACAGGCTCGCTGTGAGTCAGAGCTGACTCAATAACACTTACCAACAACAGCAGTAACATAGGCATACTAGTACACACATCATCACACGCACACTTACCAACAACAGCAATAACATAGACATACTGTGGACACACGCCATCACACGCACACTTACCAACAGTAGTAACATAGATATACTATGGACACACACCGTCACACACACACTAACAACAGCAGTTACATAGACATACTGTGGACACACACCATCACACACACACTTACCAACAACGGCAATAACATAGACATACTGTGGACACACACCATCACACGCACA